GAGCGCACGACATAACATTTCATGAAACTTCCGAAAAAGTTCAGGTACCTGAAAAAGAGAAAGTGATGAGATCTCCACAAGTTATGTCGCTTCGGAACTGACACAAAATGATCGTCGACGATATATTTAATACAATATAGTGCACAATATTGTAAAAGATTGTGAGGATCGGACTAGCAGTCCAGACACTTGAAGATGTCATACCATTTAGATACAAGTCTTAACCTATATGACTTATTTGGCTAAATCTATATGAAGATCCTTGAAGGATTGAAAATGCCCGAAGCATATAATTCAAAGTCTTGAGAAATGTACTCGATCAAATTATAAAGATCTTTGTACGGTTTAAAGCAATCTGTGCGCGTGTGGTATAATCGCCTCAGTAAATATTTGCTGAAAGAAAGTTACATAAATTATGTTATTTGTCCATGTATTTTTATAAAGAAAATGTCATCAAAATTTGTTACACTTGTTGTTTATGTTGGTGACATAAATCTTATTGGAACTCCGGAAGAGCTCCAAGAGGGTCTTAAAAATACTTTTACATGGACAAAGTGTACCCATTAAGTACACCAATGAATATTCAATCACTTGAAGTGAATAAGGATCCGTTCCAACCTCTAGAAGAGGATGAGGAGCTCCTTGGTCCTGAAATACTCTATCTCGGTGTAGATGGTGCACTTATTTATCTTGCTAATGCTAACAAAAGTGGTGCAGATCGTATTGGTAATGCAGATGCAGGTTATTTATCCGATACCCATAAAACTCGATTTCAAACCGGCAAACAGGGAGTGCATATGATTGAGATCAGTGATTCATTCGAGAAACATATGGGTTGGAATGTGATAAAAGACCTACAATAATATACGAAGACAATGTTTCATGCCTTGCACTATTAAAGGAAGGATTTATAAAAGGAGATAGAACGAAGAACATTTCACCAGAATTATTCTACATACATGATCTTCAGGAAAATTGTGACATTGATGTGCATCAAATTAGTTTAAGTGACAATCCAACGGATTGTCTTTACCAACATCAATTTTTGAGAATATGGTACACAAGATTGGAATGCGGAGACTCAAATATTTGAAATAAGGTTTTCTTCAGGGGGAGTAAAATGCGCGCTGTACTCTTTTTCCCTTACTAAGGTTTTTCCCACAGGGTTTTCCTTATAAGGTTTTTAATGAGGCAGCCAGCAATGCGAATTACTAAATATGTGTACTCTTTTTCCTTCACTAGGATTTTTTCCCACGTGGTTTTTTCTAGTAAAGTTTTGATGAGGCACATTATCTTTTAATGAACATCCAAGGGGGAGTGTTATAAATATATTATATTATGGATGTTCATTTAGTATTCCGTTGTAAATAAACTTCTGAAGAAGCTTATCCATATGTGACTCCACCGTAAATATGTTTATCTATTTAAGTACTCTATTAGAAATAAGCTTCCTGAAGAAGCTTATCACTTCGATACCCGGTTATGGATAAATATTACCCCGATAGAAGATTATCTATACCGGGTATAATAAGCTTATCCTTTCAGTACCCAGTTATGGATAAATATTACCCCGATAGAAGATTATCTATACCGGGTATAATAAGCTTATCCTTTCAGTACCCAGTTATGGATAAATATTACCCCGATAGAAGATTATCTATACCGGGTATAATAAGCTTATCCTTTCAGTACCCAGTTATGGATAAATATTACCCCGATAGAAGATTATCTATACCGGGTATAATAAGCTTATCCTTTCAGTACCCAGTTATGGATAAATATTATCTCCGGTAGAAGATTATCCATATCTGATATAGTAGCAGCTTTCACAACAACTTCCTTTCTTCTATAAATAGAAGAGATTTCAGTTCATTATGTACATCAGTTTGAATTCTAATAATGTATCAGTTTCTCTCTATACTTGTCTTTACTTTATAATCTTTATTTTATAACAAAATATGATTTTTGAACATTTTAATATTACCCATAACTTTTATTATTCTTAATCTGACCCCAACTCCTTTAATTACACGTTTTTTATTAACCACAAAATGTGTCTTCTATTCTTCCACAACATTGAGAAATCTTTTTTACCACTTTTTTCCAACTCGGTTACCATATTTGAGAGGAGGAAGAACCTAAAAATTTCCCCCCAATAACCCCCAAGTGCCTCAGTAAAACCAACAAAACTACGACTTTGCCATTCTCTCCAAAAAACCTCCATTGATCTCAGTCCTAGGGTTTTACGAAAATCCAAAATAAATCAATGGCATCATCAACTCGGATCTTCGGTAACTGCTGTCGAGCTCTTTGTGGTGCTGCTAAGACTTCCGCATCCACAACCACAACCACAACTACAGCTACGGTGACGAAGAGCAGAGGTCGGCCCAATGGAATACTGAAGCCGCAACCAGTTTCCCCTGCTCTCGGAAAGTTCTTAGGTAATTCTGAAGCCTCCCGCACTGATGCTGTCAAAAAAGTTTGGGAATACATTAAAACCCATAATCTTCAGGTCCGTTTCCTTTTGCTCAATATCACTTCATTCTTTCGCAGTTCATTAGTAAACTTTATGAGCCTTTATGTTAATGATCTCATTTAGTATTCGTTTTCTTTTTTAATACTTTTTGTTAGTAGAGCATGGTAATAGATATTTTTACTCAAAACTTTTCTTTTTCCTCTCTTAATGATGGTGGTGTTAGGGCCAGCTTTCCTTCTCCCTCTTACCAACATAGATACCGGGCAACTTCGCTACCAAGGATTAGGCTGACGGAAAGAAATTACATACTATTATTTTTTTTGCCCCCATTGAGATTTGAAACCGATACCTTATGGTTCTCCTCCCACTTCGTTAACCGCTAGACCACACCCTTGGGTTGCCTTAACTTCTTATTTTTGATTGTTTCCAAATCGAATCATTTATGTTGTATCCTTTTGGAGATTCTTTTCTCCTGTTAATTACTTGGATGAACTTGAGAGAAATTTATGGTGGTCCATGAAGACATTATACTTCTATTTTGTGTAAATAAACATTTCTTTTTCAACCACTGAAGTTCAATCAGTCTTTCAACAATGCCTCTCTCCCAAATTTTGCCTATGACAAGGTCAAATGTGAAATTTAGTGCTTATGTACTTGTTTTGCAAATATTTTTGTCTTAATTGTCTTTGCCGAGGTAATCATTGTTAGCTATGCATTTTATAGTCTAGCTAGATATAATGAAAACTTGCATTATTTGTGGACAGAGGAATAGTGGACTAGTTGTCCAGTAGGCATCAATTGGTTTTGGCTACTATTCTGTTATACGATGGCTGGCGTTTATTGATTCTGTGGAAGCATAGCTGATGTATAGTGCCTGCTTCCAAATAAGTGCTACAAGGGTGTGTGCTATGCATCAGATTGGTAAAGTGTTACAAATTAGAGTTCTGAGTGTTGTAATTCTGAGATCTTCCTTAGATGCATGAGTGGAATCACAATGAAGGCAACTATGATTATCTACAGGTCCACTTATGCTTCTAAAGTTTGTTTCTTAGTTTCTTGTTTGAGATGAAATTACTTGTCGGGAATGCCAGGATTGCCTGGACAGAGTTTTTCACCACTTTTTGAATTTGGAATCTGTGCATAGGTCATAGCTATTAGCTGCATGTGACTGGGAAACTTCATATCTGCTATCCCTACCTACAGGGGCCTGCAGTAGGCTGTTAATGCAAAACAGTGCACTATGACCTTGTAGAGGGATTTTTGTAATCGTGGCACCCGCTTCCATTTATGACCAGATGATTGCCATGGTTCATCAAAGTATTCACTATTTAATTGCTCCTTTCACCCGTACAAAAATAAATGAAGAAATTATGTTTGGCATTTGCATCCAAGGGTATGGCGTAATGGTCAATGAGGTAGATGAAAGCCATGAGAGACCAAAGTTCAAATCCTAGCAGAGACAAAAAATACTAGTAGGTGATTTCTTTCCATTTGTCTGAGCCTTGGTTGACAGAGTTATCCAGTATCTGTGCATGTGGGAGATTGCAGGTATCAAGTGGAATTTGCGTAAGCTGCCCCAATCACCACCATTATAAAAAACATTTGGCGTTTGGGAGTTGATCTCTCTTGTCTATGACTCAACTCAATGACCAAGAGATTTCTGATGTGTACAAGAAGAAATTGAGTTTGTCAATTTGATCACTGCTAATTATTTTTGTTTCCAGTTTTTTCCTTTTTGGTGCAATGGTTTTCTTGTTTCAGCTGAAGTAAATGTTAATCACCTCCCTTTGGTTTAATTCCTGACGCGGTGCTTGTAACTTTGCTATTTGCAGAATCCTGCAAACAAGAGAGAGATACATTGTGACGAAAAGTTGAAGATGATATTTGATGGCAAGGACAAAGTTGGTTTTCTAGAGATTGCGAGGCTATTAACCCAGCATTTTCAGAAGGCTACTTAAGTTCCAGTCAGGCGGCAACTTCTGTAAACATTAGGCACCTTCTGGATATCGAACTTTGTTGTTTACCTAGCTGGCTAGCTTTTTTCTGTTTCTAGTAGCTCTTTGGTTTTCCTTCACCCTGGTTTGAGTTACCAAGGGGGTAGATCAGATGCTCTTTAAATCAAGTGTTTTGAAGATGAAACGAAAAGCAACAGGGTAATGGTAAAACTAACACCATCGTTGTTAATCCACCCCAAAGATCTCTCCATGTTCCTTTCACAATTTGAAGTTAAGCTAGGTATGTGGGATAAAATGCATTTGGAGCACAATTTGTACTAGTTGAAATGTAAAATTCTTGTTGCAGCAATATCAGTTCTCGTCATTTTGCTGATAAAAATGTTAGCCTATTCATAAGTGTTTTTCCCTGGTTTAGCTAATTGATATTCAGAGCCCATTAGTTTGACTAATCCAGATACTAGGGGTAGGGGGTTACCCGGGTTAAACGCTCCTTATTAGAAGGTTCTTCATTCATGTGTCTTGGACTCGAGACCTCTTGTTAAGGGTAAGAAAATCAAATCATCACACTGCATGTTTTAGTGATTATGCAACGCGAGAATGTCTTAGGGAGTCACGTATCCTAGTACTTCTCTCATACAAGAATGCCTAGCTTCGGAGTTTTGATGACATATGCCAATACATCAATGTTGATTGTTGACGACATATGCCAATACATCAATGTTGATTGTTGACAACAAAGAGCACACAATAGTTAGTTATTACACACACATATATACACATACACACATATATATTTATATATGTATCCACACACACAAAAAAATATAGATACTGCATGATAAATAGATTCAATTGAACCTTTCAAACACTTGACTCCGCTCAGCTCCTAATAGGCAATTTTGCCCCTAAGTTGTATTTTTAAATTAAGCGATGATGTCACATATAGTAAAATACTTACTCATATTTAGTAGTATTTTTATTGAACATAATAATTTATAACTTTAAAAGGTAAAAATTCATTTGAATATACATTATAAATATATTTATGAAAAATAAATGTCTTAGCATTCATTTATAATTTTTAATAGGTGAATTGAAAACCTTTTCATTGGAAAAGAAATTGAAAACTTTTGGCGATTAGGCAAAATACCTAACGTACATTATTAGTCTTCTTAATTAAACGAATATAGGCTTTTACTTAAACGAATATAGGCTTTTTTCCAGGTGAATCATCCATTATTGTAGAATTTGATTCATCAGCATCTCTAAGCCTTCATCACAGGGAATATTTTATAGTGTCTACCTTCACCTTATACCCATTTTCTATACTAACCACTCACCAGTCACCACCTACCCTATTGAACGAATCCCCATTTACAAAGACGCCACGCAATACAAGTGTTAGAAAACAATCAGATAGTGTCAGTCAATGGCTGCCGAACATGATCAAATGCCAGTGAAGGAAGAAGAGTATCTGGACGTCCTTACTAAAACTGGAGAAAAAACTGGCATCTCTAAGCCCAGGTACCAATCCCACATCAAAAAAGAAAAAAAAATCATATGGGTTATGCCGAATTTTGATCAATTTTTCATTTCTTATTAGTTTGAATTCTTGGTGCTGATTGGAGTTTTGATTAAAATAGTTGGGTTCGAACGGACAGAATGATGTATTCATTATAAATTGACTACTTTTACTCGTCCATCAGCCTACTTACTGCTATTGGCTTCTTTTATGCTAGAGTGTGGCAACTCAGCAAGTTCTCACTGACACAGTCTTAAAATATATGCGGTTAGAGGCAGTGCTGTTGAGTAGGAGAAAGCAGCTTCCCATCTGTTGTAGTTTCTTCCAAAAGAAATAAACAGGAGAAAAAGTAAATTGAATCTTGACAAGATAGCTAATTTGTCAAATTGACTAATAGAATTTGATATATTTAAGCACATAGTTCCCTAAATATATCACGTTTTAATGATGTCTCAATACCAATTACCATAATTGTACTACTTGTTCAGAGGGGATGTTCACAGAGCTGGAGACTACCATCGCGCTGTTCATGTATGGATATTTGCTGAGAGTACACAAGAACTACTCCTCCAACGACGTGCTGATTGCAAGGATTCCTGGGCTGGTCTGTGGGATATCTCAAGTGCCGGTCATATATCTGCTGGAGATTCATCTCTTATTTCAGCAATGTATGTTCCAGCATGAAGCTGAACTTTCTGGATATAGTTTCACATGAACTGGGTTTATTTTTCCGAGTTTGCTTTCATCTGTTGATGCCTCAGGCAAATTCTTAAACATAACGTTTTCTGCATGTTCTTGAACCATTATTTGGTAACTTTTGTCCCATGATCGTAGATTGTCTCGTGGCGTCACTCAAATTTCAGTGATTCTGTATTCTCCTGCCTCTTTGTGTTGCTGCTTTTTTCACCTACCAATGGATTTCTTTTTCTTCCTTATCTTTCTCAAATAAAAAGAAGAAACCATATCTTGAACCAACTTTCTATGACGAGTGAAATGAAAGACTCTTTGCCCTCTATACTGTGAATCTTTTTACCATCATAAAGCCTTCTGTTTCTCTCTCTAAACTTTCTAATGGAAAATGCTGTATCTGATATTGTTTCACAATGAATGGATCTCGCAGCAATGACTCCTCTGGTTTGCTATCATGCTAATTGATACAAACACGTCCCGTGCTGCATAAAGTGGAATAGCTTTTGCTGATGTAATTTCACACTTCACCAAATGCTCAGCTCTTACAACTTTCTTTTTTCTTTTGTTAAGTAATGGTCAGCTGTCACAATTTTGCAGTGCATATGATCATTCAAGTGTCAATGATTTCTTCCTTATAACAATGCAAACTGCAACTTCTAAACCTCTTTAATTATGAAGAAATACAAAATATGTTACTTTTTGTAATACACATTTATCATACAAAGAGAGTTTTTTCATCCCATAACCCACTTTGAAATGCTGAACGTTCTCTTCTGTGCTATTGCCTACATACTTCGCATGAGCACTCTCACTTCTGAATGCTTTTCTGCTGGGGCTTGTACTGTTGCTTACTAATACATTCTTGCAGGCGAGAGCTTCAAGAAGAACTTGGTGTAACTCTTCCGAAGGATGCATTTGAATTAATATTTGTTTTGCTTCAAGAGTGGTTGGTATACTAAAGCTCTAATTCATCATGTCTTCTTATTATACAGTATCAAGCAGACTGCCTGTTAGCTTCAGAGCTATGAATTTGTTCTTCTACTTGTTGAATCTTCTTTTGTATCTTCTGGACAAATGTATGGTGTGTTATCTGTCAACTGGTAAATAAGATCTCATTACATAATGAAAACATTTTTCTTTGCAGTTGACGAATACAACTGAGTTACCTAAATGTTAATTTTGATAATGATGTTTGCTATTTCGTATGCACCTTGAGCTGCCAGGGAGCTTGATGGCGTATAGAAGTGGGGCAACCAAAGAAAAGAAATATTGATAGCTACACTGTAGGAATGTTCATAAGGTTTTAATCCCATCAGTTTTCATTATTAACACTACCGCTAATTAGCTCCTAATAGATCGAGCATGTGATACTTTTGGCGATGTGTTTGAAGCCCAGAGTTAACAAAACCTCAGTCATTAAATTTGCGGTCCATCTGCCTAATATGAGTTATTGGTGCTGATTTTTTTGTTTGATCCGGTAGACTAGACTGTAGTATAATTTTTTACAGGGATAACTCAAGCATGTCTATAATATGTGATTATTACCTTAATATAAACTAATATTTCAAGCACATATCTATCAAATGATGCTCAAATTTCTGTGTCCATTTTGCCCAAAATTTCCAGGGCTTTTATACATATGCAATTTATTGGACTTTAACTATTTTTTTTTTTTTTAACTATTAGAGGACTCTCTTGATAGTTTTTTATTTTTTTATTTTGATAAATCAAATACTTTGTTGATAGTTATATCATAACCAACTAGGAAGGAAAGATAATAATACATACTCTAGAACATGTGCAATCATCACTTCAATAATATTTTCTCAAGTTATTGTTTTTCGAAGCATGAGATTCTGTTGGTCAATGGAGTACGCTTAATGTCCCATTAAATTGCAGCACTATCAATGATGGCAAGTTCATCAACAATGAATACAATGATGTATATCTAGTGACAACAATAGATCCAATTCCTTTGGAGGCCTTTACACTTCAGGTTAGTAGTTCTGTTTGTCGTTAAATTTTGTGGTAGTTGCTCAGATTGCCTGAGATTACTATGTGTTCATCACGTGGTATCTCATGTTTTGCCTTAGGTTTATTGTTCTTTAACTGGAAATGGAATTCCTGCAATAAGAATGAATGTAAAGGAACTAAGCTGTCTATAAGTGTAACGTCTTCACAGTTTTTGTCTTTTATCTTAAATGTGTTGGAGATGAATTCTTGAAATTTTATAGATTATTCATTTTTTTAATTTGATAAGGTAAATAATTTTATTAATGATGGGAAAATCTCCCATTTACACGCAATATACCAAAAGGTATAGAACCTATTGAAGAATATGGTTCTCTACGGAAGCATCCAACTAATGAAACCTCATGGGCGCACAAAAAAAAAATGAGGAGGTGATTTTTGGATACCAACCAACTAGGGATGGCAATTGGGGCGGGGCGGGTGAAACTCTTAACGAGGCAGGGCAAGGGATCAAGTAAATAGGGCCGGGCGGGGCAGGCTAGGGCAAACTTTAATTTTTGAAATTTTTTAATGGGGCAGGGCAGGTGGCAGGTCAGCCCTTAGTCCAAATAGTGGGCCATTTGGTAGCTTGAGGTCCAGTCATTCCTTGCTTTCTGTAACTTTCATTTCTTCTTTTGTTTTATAAATTGGTAAATTTGTACTTGAATATGTAATATTCTGTGTATGTAACTACGTATATCTCAAAAGAAATAATAAGCTCATGCCAAAAAATGGTGATAGCTTTGTAAAATATGGTGTGTGGTTTTCGATTTTTTCATCTAAAGCTAAAAATAACCTCGTCAAATATTTATTCATTTAAATTAAATGCTTGTCTTTCATTATAGTATCTTTTAAATGTACAATAATCACCCAACGTTAAATGAAACAAACTTTTACTCATTTCTATATACTTCTTTCTCTATTTTGTTTTAAAAACACCAAAATGAACTTATTAGACTTTAAGAACATCCTTATAATAAAACATGCTCTCAGGCACTACTCCCGAGGCATCTCTGTACCATGAATCCTAGGATTCTATCAACACCCACAGATAGCCACCCCATTGTGACCAAAACCCAGAAAAAATCTCCGACGAACAGCCTCCCACGCGCCCTCACACGCAGCCCACTTCCGGCGATCTCTATGCCACGCACCGG